AAGAGGGCGAGGAAGAGGATGCGGAGGAGGGGCAGCGAGATGAAGCTCGGTCTGTCCAGAACAAGCAGCGATCCTCCTGAAGGAGAGACGAGGTGTTAGAGGAGGAACAGAAGGAGGTCAGGCGGTCCGGGGAGTTTACACTGATGGAGACGCTTCACACAGTTCACACAAAGAGCTGATCTTCTACTAATTAAAGCTGCCGGAGCTCGAGCGTTTTCCCGATGTTCACTGTGATGAATCTCGAGAGCAGGAAAGTGATACAAGAGTTATCCTGTAGCCTGTGGTCAACGCTGGCACACTCCTATTCACGAGGCTACACCGGCGTTGTTTCCGAGCATCTTTCCTGAATGTTTACACTGATTATTGGAAAACAGCTAATATGAACTAATAAGAAAGTGTTTGTTGGACTTTGTTTTCCTGTAGACGTGTGACCCATGTCCAAACTGGAAGTTTTAAGTTTTGAAAGCAAGCTTGTTACTTTACAGCCACCTGCTTTTGTCCCTTCCTGAAAGCTTAAAGTCGCTGTTTAGTTCAGCTTGAGCCAAGAAGACTAAAAGAGACATTTGGCCACCAAAGTCTGTGTTAGAAGAATTAAGACTCACATTGGGTCCCATTTGTATCCGTCACTACTCAACTCTTTTCTTTATAATTTATCAAAGGATGAATAAAATAATAAATTATGTCAAATCTGTCTCTGTCAGTCATCTGAACCTTCTTTCAACTAAGTGCTGCACAAATCAAACCTTTAACGTAACTCCTGACTGAAATAAACGAGGTGCACTTGATTTATAACACAAGAGAAAACGAGAGATTTGCAGTGAAAATAAACACCAAAAAGTTATCACACTTTCATCTCCGTTGAAGTCATCTCCACCCTTCTACACGCAGCTATCCCCCTCTAGTGACCATTATAAAGAATACAGGTTACCTGCCAAACCCAGGGCCTTTCTCAATATGCGTACTTGTGCGTACTTGCGTTCTCGTGTACTCGTGATACGTCATCAGTCGGAGACAAAGTACTGTTCCAATTCGAAGTAGGCATCAAGGCGAGAACGCGAAAAAGTCCCGGATGTGTTCTCGCTCCGTCTGTTTTATCGAGCATGCATCGGTGGTGACTTGTGTGGACTTGGTACAGCTAAATATCCCAGAATGCATTTTGTCCAAAACTCAAACGCGGCAATGGCGGACGAGCGGGGCTAAAAACTTTTAAATATTACTCTTTCTGTCACAAAATAAACTTTTAAGTTATTTTCAAGCGAGAATGTAGCTGTGTAAACTTC